GAAAACAACTGCAGGAACATAAAATGTATATGTCTGGTGGCTTTGAACATAAGTCACAGGTTTTTTTTGAAAGATACGTCACAAGTTGTGTCAGGAGTGATGAAAAGGGACTGAACGTCTGAATATATTTTTTTACCAAACAAAGAACAAGAGGAACCTAATTCCATGTTCCAACAGATCCCCATACAGGAAGGCGTGGTATATATCTTTGTTGGTGTAATTGAAGAGATTCATTAGCTCTGGAAACATAATGAAGTTGTGAAAGTAATTACAAAGCAGAAATGCAGAACCAAGCCTGCCAAATCATGTACACAGCAAATCAATTGATCTTTACCAAATGATGCACCCAGAAAAATCATCATTTAGTAACCTCCTAAGAAAAAGAAAGAGTTAAATGCATGGGTGGTCCATCAACTTGCGCTCTAGTTTTACTTAGGTCAATCAACTCTAAAACTGGATTTTTGGGTCCATAATCTTTGTTAGTGGCGCATTTTTAGACCATACCCCATTTGTTTCCATTTTTTAACCGACGTGACACCTCACACACGCATGCATGTGCATGCATGATGCATGCACGTCGGCGTCTTCCCGCAGGCAGCTGGACAACTCTTGCAGGTTTTGCTTGTAAGCATGAAGACCTTGCTGACAGGGTGGCTGGGTGAGCATAACGACGCGGGGGCGCGGCGGCCGGCGAGGCGCGCGAGCATGACGACCTTGCTGAGGCCGAGGCGGCAGACGTCGCGGCTGCTAGGAAGGTGGAGGCGTTTGAGGAGCTGAAGGGCGTGGTCGGGGCGCTCTAGGACGGTGAGCGCGCGGTCCGTCACTGGGGAGGCGTCCCCCACGACAGCCACCAGCGCCGGCGTGCGCCCGGCCGCAAGCAGGTGCGGCACATTGGCGGGCGCGATGGAGAGGTTCAGGAGCGCGCGCACCGCGTCATGGCACGCCTGCTTGGTGGATGAGCACGTGGCGGACTCGAACGTGCGTACGAGGCACGGCGCGGCACCGGACGCGCCGATGACGGGCTTGTTAGCCTCGAGTGCGCTGAGGCAGAGGAAGTTGGCGACCACGGCCTCCGTCAGCGCGTCGGACGCGCCGCCGCCGTCCGCAATGCGGAGCATCTTGTGGACCGTGCCGGCTTGCACGAATGCTGCAGCCTGCGCGCACACGCGGCTCGGGGTGACGATGCTCACGTTCGCGGCGCGGATGCCCACATCCCCGGAGCCGGAGGCCGGTCGTGGCGCCGCCGCCGAGCCCAAGGGGCGCGACGTGCACCCGCAGCTGTGGCAGGCGTGCGTGGGCTCCATGTGCGTCGTGCCGCCTGTCAGAATCCTGAACTGGCGAGAGGGAGAAGACGATGAACACACGCGAACACAGTGGACACACGATGATTTTGTTGTTGCAAAGCGGCAAGAAATTGAAGGTGCTCCGCACTGACAACGGTGGAGAGTTCACCTCAGTTGAGTTCGGTGAGTACTGTGCAGGAGAGGGCGTCCAGCATCACCGCTCGGCCCCATACGTACCACAGCAGAATGGCATGGTGGAACGTCGAAACCAGATGGTCGTGGCGATGGCGAGGAGCATGCTGCGCGCGCCTCTCCTGCACAGTACTCACCGAACTCAACTGAGGTGAACTCTCCACCATTGTCGGTGCGGAGCACCTTCAATTTCTTGCCGGTTTCGTGCTCAACGCGTGCTTGGAACGTCATGATCGCCGCTGGTGCATCCGCCTTTGAGCGCAAAAGAGTGAGCCACATATAGCGGCTCATGTCATCGACGAGCAGCAAGAAGTAGGCGTTCCCGGCCGGTGTTGATGGCGAGATCGGGCCGCAAAGGTCACCATGGACCAGTTTAAGCTCCTCCTGAGCCCGGTACTTGGCGGCCTTGGGGAACGGCGTCCCCCTTCTGCTTTGCCAGGACACAGTCCTCACAGACTTGATCTACGTGGTCGATCGTCGGTAGTCCTCGCACCATGTCCGCACGCCCAAGCTTGCGCAACACCTGGAAGTTGAGGTGACCATACCACTCATGCCAGCGCCACGCCATGTCGCCGACACGTGCGGTGAGGCACACTAGAGCGGCGATGTTCATGTCGAGGAAGTAGAGCTGGCTCGGTGATCGGTGCACCTTCGCCAGTAGTTGTCGCTCCAGGTCGAAGAGGCACAGTATGCCGGACTCGATGTCGACCTTGTAGCCGTCCTCGTCCATCTGCCCCAGGCTTACGATGTTCGTGGTGAGGCTCGGGATGTAGTAGACCCCATCAAGGCGATGATGTTCACCCGATCTGCAGGCGAAGAGGACGGTACCCTTGCCCTGGATGTCGACCACCGATCCGTCCCTGAACTTGACGGTGCCCACATCGCCGGAGCCGGAGGCCAGTCGTGGCGCCGCCGCCGAGTGCAAGGGGCACGACGTGCACCCGCAGCTGTGGCAGGCGTGCGCGGGCTCCATGTGCGCCGTGCCGCCTGTCAGAATCCTGAACCGGCGAGAGGGAGAAGACGATGAACACACATGAACACAGTGGACACATGATGATTTTGTTGTTGCAAAGCGGCAAGAAATTGAAGGTGCTCCGCACCGACAACGGTGGAGAGTTCACCTCAGTTGAGTTCGGTGAGTACTGTGCAGGAGAGGGCGTCCAGCGTTACCACTTGGCCCCATACGCGCCACAGTAGAATGGCATGGTGGAACGTCGAAACCAGATGGTCGTGGCGATGGTGAGGAGCATCCTGCACGCGCGGGACATGCCGGGCCACTTCTGGGGTGAGGCGGTGCACACCGCCGTGTTCCTCCTCAACCGGGCGCCCACCAACACGCTCGATGGGATGACCCTGTACCAGGCGTGGTACGGGAAGAAGCCGCTCGTGCACTTCTTCAAAGTGTTCGGGTGCGTCGCCTACATCAAGCGCCTGCGCCTGCACCTCAGCAAGCTCGACGACCGCAGGCAGAAGGTTGTCTTCATCGGGTACCAGGATGGGTCAAAGGCGTACCGTTTCTATGACCCTGTCACCGAGCGCGTCCATGTCTCCCGCGATGCCACCTTCGACGAGGGCGCGCGATGGGATTGGGAAGACGCCTCGGTCGCCATCAACGAGCACCCCTTCACCATCGCGGACGACTATGAGCTGCGGCGCCAACATGTCGAGGCGACGGCCCAAGAGCCAACGTCTCCTAAGCAGCGCTCGCCGGCTTCCTCACCACCGACCACGTCGCGCTCGTCGTCGTCACTTGGCGCACCGAGCTCACCGCCACCTGCGTCGCCGATCTCGACACCATTGATGGCTGGGACGTTGGTAGAGTTCGCGACACCACTCACTGCTGACCCAAACCTTGATGCTGATGATGAGGAGGAGGGGAGCACCGGTACCGGATGCTGGACAACATCCTTGGCACGGATGCAGCACCCGGACTGGCACACCGCGACGCCGTGGAGGCTGAACTGCACGTAGTGAGCCACGCCGTGAGCGTGGAGGAACCCAGGTCGCTGAAAGAAGCCGACAGCGACCCCAACTGGGTTGCTACGATGGAGGAGGAGATGAAGTCGATCCGCGACAATGAAACATGGTCGCTGGTCGAACTTCCGCGCGGACACCGAGCCATCGGTTTGAAGTGGGTGTACAAGGTTAAGCGTGATGAGAACGGCGGCATCGTCAAGTACAAAGCTCGCCTCGTCACCAAAGGCTATGTGCAGCGTCCCGGCATCGACTTTGAGGAATTGTACGCGCCGGTCGCTCGACTGGAGTCAATGCGGCTGGTCATCGCCATCGTGGCGCACTACGGGTGGGGCGTCCATCACATGGACGTCAAGTCGGCGTTCTTGAATGGAGAGCTCCAGGAGGAGGTCTACGTCCAGCAACCTCCTGGCTTCGTCGACAACAAGCGCAAGCACAAGGTGCTCCGACTTCATAAGGCACTCTACGGCCTCCGTCAGGTTCCACGCGCATGGAACCAGAAGCTGGATGCCGAGCTACTGTCGCTTGGGTTCACGCGCTGCATCGACGAACACGGGATGTACACCCGTGGCAAAGGTGAAGGGCGCCTGATCGTGGGCGTATACGTCAACGATCTTATCATCACTGGAGGTAACGAATATGTCGTGGGGAGGTTCAAGAAGCAGATGCTAAGCACCTTCCGCATGAGTGATCTTGGGCTCCTCTCCTACTACCTTGGCCTCGAGGTCACCCAAGGAGCTCATGGGATCACGCTGCGCCAAAGTGCCTACGCCACCAAGATCCTCGAGAAGGCTGGGCTGGCAGATTGCAATGCGAGCGCCACGCCCATGGAGATGAAGCTGAAGCTTCTGAAGGAAGGCTCGACGCCAAGTGTGGATGCCACCGAGTACCACAGCCTCATTGGCAGCTTGAGGTATTTGTGCAATTCCAGGCCGGACCTAGCGTACGCGGTGGGCTACCTCAGCCGGTTCATGGAGACGTCGCGGCAAGAGCATCTGGCAGCTGTGAAGCGCGTCCTTCGCTATGTGGCGGGCACGGTGCACTAGGGTGTGCACTACCATCCGGGAGGAAAGAAGGGAGCAGTGCCTCGGCTGCTGGGCTACTCCGACAGCGACCTAGCAGGCGATGTTAACGATCGGAAAAGCACAAGCGGTCTCATCTTCTTCCTTGCCGGTGGGCCGATTGCATGGCAGTCGGCGAAACAAAAGGTGGTTGCGCTGTCGTCCTGCGAGGCGGAATACATCGCGGCTGCTGGAGCTGCGTGCGAGGCAGTTTGGCTGGCTGAGCTCGTCGAAGGAGCCATCCTCGCACCCAAGCTCAAGGTGGACAATAAGTCCGCCATCGCCTTGATGAGGAATCCTGTGCATTATGACCGGAGTAAGCACATCGATGTGAAGTTCCACTTCACCGCCCGTCGGCGCCGACATCTACTACTTCCCGCAGGGCCACGCCGAGCACGCCGGCGCCGCCGCCGTGGTCCTGCGCGCCGCTGGTGCCTGGCTCCCTGGATGCCTACAGCAGCAGCAGCAGCGGAGCTTATGGAGGAATTTGCTAGTTGTCCGCCTCAGCGACGAGGAAGACGCGCTCGCCGACGCCGCGCTTCATCACGTCCACGTCCTTGAACTGCTGGCGGGGCTTGTCGTTGTCCCCGTCGTAGGCGGTGGCGACGGCGTCGGCCTCCGTGGACGAGTACAGGATCGCGGTGCGCACGCGGTTCGGCGGTTGTGGCACCTGATCCGAATCTCTCCACATCGAGTTTCGTTTTGTACTTACAAAGATTACTTACCGTAATGTACTTGTGGGAAAGGTACTCATTCAATCATATGATGCTCTAGCTAGTAGCAGCAGCAGTAGTAGAAAGGAACACGACTGACGACGACACGCGATCTAGCTAGCTTACCTCCGGCGGCGCAGGCGGAGGCGTCGGTGGTGACGTTGCATCGCCTAGCGAGGACCAGGCCCTGCTCGGGCGCCACGCCGAACGCCCGCAGCGCGGCCCTGTTGAGCAGCATGGAGCACAGGCACGCCGTCTTGTTGGCCGCCGCGTCCCAGAGCGGCCCGCAGCACGCCGCCACGGGCGCCGCCGTGGACGTGGAGTTGAGGTACCCCGCGCACAGAACCAGCTTCGCCGCGCACGACGGCATCGCCCCTGAGCCGGAGTCGGACGTCCCCTGCGCGTACGCGGATGGAGCCAGCGCCAGGCAGGCCACGGCCACGGCGGCCAGGAGGCGGGCGGCGCTCTGCTGCATTTGTATGCTCTGTGCAGCTGTGCTTGCGGGCGAGTGACACTGAGGGAGTGGAGTGATCGGTGCTGCGGGGGGGTGTGCGAGATGCGGGTGGGAGTTTATGGCGGTGCGGTCAGCTGTGGCTATAGATAGCCATTCGGGCCGCCTGGCCCGGCCCGGCATGGCCCGGAGGTCATCGGGCCGGCATGACCCGTCAAGTACATCGGGCCGTGCCGTGCCGGCCCACGGGCAGCACTAATGGCCCAAGCACGGCCCTAAAAGGCCTCGTGCCGTGCCATGCCGGCCCGATGGCCCGACTGGCCCAGCGTCGCAGGCAGCGCTACACAGGGGGATCGTCGCCATCGGCCATCGCGGGCACTCCAGATGCGCCGGATCCGCATGGGTAGAGGGGGGAGGGAACCCGCCGAATCCGCCCGAGGCCGGCCGCTGCCGGGGTTGCCAGCTCCACCGGGTCGCTAGATCCACCGAGGGAGAGGGAGGGAGGAGGGAGCCCACCGGATCTACACGGGGGAGGAGCTGCTCCTGCCTGATCTGCTGCCGGAGTTGATGACAATGCGCGCGGCCGCCGGCGTGGAGGTGGTGGCGCTGGATCCGCTGCCAAGGAAGGTGCAGGAGCTGCTGCTGCACGGATCCGCGTGCCCACGACCCGCGTGAGCCCACCCTGCGCCATCGTGGTCTCCATGCGCGCGAGCCAGCCCTGGCCTCCATGCGCGCCTCTTGCGTCGCCGTGGCCGCCTGAGGGAGAGGGAGAGGGATGGAGCGTGCCCTGGCCGTGGCCGTGGCCACTCGGTTGTGCTTGGGATGAGGGAGAGCTAGAGGGATGGAGTTGCGCCTGAGGGGGAGGGAGAGAGAGCGAGAGAGATGGAGCGGCGCCCGAGGGAGACGGAGACAGAGGGTTGGAGGGCGCAGCACCTGAGGGAGACGGAGAGAGTTAGGGTTTCAATTATGCTCAGCGTATATATACTGTAAAGCCATTTCCGGGCCTGCAAAGTGTCGGGCTAGGCCGGGCCGGCACGCCGTGCTGAAAGTGAGGCCCAGGCACGGCCCAAGGGTCGGGCTGGAACAGCCCGGGCCCGCCAGCCACCGGGCCGTGCCGTGCCTGGGCCGGGCCGAAACATCGTGCCGTGGGCCGGGCCATATGGCCAAGTATAGTTGCGGCCTCGGGTCCGCCGGGCCGGTTGGTGGCGTGCCAGCGAGGCGGCGGACATGCGACGACGGGCGGGTGGTTGGCGGGACGCCCATGGGCCAGAATCTTGCGTTGTCTGTCCGGGGCTGCGGCCGGCCTGGCGCCCGCACACTCCCCGCCCCCGAGGTTGGATGCGGTGGGCCGACGTGCATGCATCATGCATGCACATGCATGCGCGTGTGAGGTGCCACGTCGGTTAAAAAATTAAAACAAATGGGGTATGGGTTAGGAATGCTCACTAATAAAGATTATGGACCCAAAAACCTACTTTCAGAGTTGATGGACCTAAGTGAAATTAGAACGCAAGTTGATGGACCACCCATGCATTTTACTCTAAAAGAAAAACACTGCAAAGATTGATTGAGGTCCAACAACGAGGAATAAGAATCAGCATATAACATTCATCCGTAAAACTTCCATTTTGTTTACTATTGCTAGTAATTTCATTTCTTTATACTGAATATGCATTATGCACTGGGGAAAATTGGGTCCCAAGCATCATTAACAAATACTCGATCTATGGAAATGAAAGGATCTAGTGATTATTCATTGACAGATCTAGCAAAATACTAAGTAACTACTTTATACCCTGTTCTAATTCATAGGCGTACCTCACACAGTTTCACCTTGGTTGCCCTAAAATCGAGAACCGATGAATCACCGTATGCAAGACCTCCTTCTGGCATGGAAATTTGTGGTAAGAGACCATCTACTTCCTCGCATGATCTGTCACTTCTCCTCAGACGGAGAGCAGCAGGAAGAAGCTAGCCAGCGAAGATGGCTGCGAACACGAGGTCGAGAGTGGGACTGTGGAGAGGTCGAGAGCGAACCTGCAGCACCGGGGAGGAGGACGTCGACGGCGCGAGATGCTCTTACGTCCAACTTTTGGGATGAAGTAGCCTAGGTAAGTTTCCATACTCGTTCCCTCTCCCAAGGACGAGGGGAGAGCAGAGCGGTGATGACCCTGACAGGAGAGTACTTACGTTGTCACGCATGAAAAGAAAGAAAAGGGAGGACACCATGGCCCTACAGTACACAGCAAATGACAAAAGCCTAAAAGCCCTACTCTGCCGCCGATTCCATGTCCTGGCATCTCCGAGTTAGGCCTTGTTTAGTTTCTAAAAATTTTTACCCTAAGATGTAACATCGAATTTTGCAGCAAATGTATGGAGTACTAAATGTAGATAAAAAAAATTAATTGCACAGTTAGGTGAGAAACCGCGAGACGAAACTTTCAAACCTAATTAGTCCATAATTAGACACTAATTATCAAATACAAACGAAAATAGTACGATAGCCAAAGCCAAAAAATTTCGCGAACTAAACGCGCCCTTACTTACATGCCATGCCACTTCAGAAAATCAGAGAGGCCCTGGTGTCCCATCGCAAAGCTGAGGCACCGTTTAGTTTGCAAATTTTTTGGCGAAATAGTACTATAGCACTTTCGTTGTTATTTGACAATTAGTGTCCAATCATAGTCTAATTAGGCTTAAAAGATTCGTCTCATGAATTTCGTCTAAACTGTGTAATTAGTTTTATTTTTTATTTATATTTAATGCTTCATGCATGCATCCAAAGATTCGATGTGACGAAGAATCTTGAAAAATTTTGCAAAATGAAGTTGAACTAAACAGTACCTCTGGTGGCAGGAAGCATTTGCTGCTGCCTGGCGGTTGGCGCACGGCCACGTACGGCCACAGATAAATGTTCAAGCACCTCAATTTGGCCGTGTGCGTGTCCTTGTTGAGTTCATCGCGACCACGTCGCTGCCCGCTCCGACAGCAACGATTGAAAATTAGATTAGACCCTACCAAGATCACCCCTGACACTGCCAATTAATGATACAAAATAAGTACCATCAAATTGGTTATAGAATATAATTTTATAATAAATTTATTTAGAAACATAAATATTAATACTATTTACTATAAATTTGATCAAACTTGAGTTTCGTTGACAGGCTCGGATACCATAATTGTATTTTTTTTTTGACAGAGAGAGTATGTCCATGCAATGCAAATGATGCAAACAAATATTTAATGGTTCATCCCTTGTTGTAGGTTAGATTTAACTTCATGTAACACATTTACGTAGTTATTATAGTAAATTAAATGGTTTCATGAAAAATAATTGTATGATGTGTGTTCATGCATTATAAAGTCATAGATAAAGTAATTACTTTATAATAGATGAAAAGTTTATATTCAATAAATAGTCATATTAAACACGAACAAAGTAGTATCTGAAAGATATCTACCATATCATATTATTAAAGTACACATGTTCAAATAAATATTACGCAAGTTAGAATAAATAAACATGAAAATATATATAATTGTCTTACACAAGCTAAGGTTGCAAAGCCCTAACATGTGTCCATCACAAAAGCTGCATGCTAGCGCGCCCGCTCCCCCTCTCTCCAATAAAGCTGTGAAAAATAATCTTTTGTGGTATCCGCTCATGATTCATGATGTAGCAGAAAAGATGGTGAGAAGAGATAAAGGGGAACAGCACGCAGCCTGCAGTACGTTGGTGCCTTGGTGTGAGTCGGCTAAAAATAAAGCCTGAACACACTATACTTCCTTTCTTTCAGTTACGTAGGTACTCTGTCTATCAAGAAAACATGTAACTATGAGTTACATGCTAGATAAAGTTATTCACGTTTGACTAAATTTTAAATAAATGATATTTATATTAATGACTCTAAATTAATTTATTATGAAAATATATCTCATAATAATCTAATGATATTTATTTGATCTTATAAATATTTATCGTTTTTTATCTATAATTGGTCAAACATGATATACTAAAATATGGTACTGTGCTAGAATTACATGTTTTGCTGGATGGTGGGAGTACATGCTCAGTGTGTATGATAATAATATCCCTTGTTATAGTCGTTAGATTAAATGAGCCCGGCCATGAATTAACTGTAGAATTGGCAGGAGCATCTATATATAATATATAATATATGAGACCATGCATGCATTTTTATACATTTTTGTTGCAATAATGGATTAGTTACTTCATAAATTAGACGTATAGCAGTAGCAGTAGTAACAAATAAAGGATGATTGGCTCTCTCTCTCAGCTATCGCATGATTATTTACGGCTCTCATCTTTCAGTTCTTGCCGTTGGCGGTGGGTGTGGGGCCAACAGCAGGGGGAGTTGAACTTATAGTACAACGGATCTCTCTACTCTAGCGCTTTTGTGCTTTCATGTGATGTGCTGCGATGAACAATTGGATCAGTTTGCTTGCCTTTACAAAAGAACGCTGCCGTAGTGCTTTTTTTTTGTTTCTTTTGGCTTTGAGGTGGGGAACGCACAGGACGACTATCGGCTTCGTGCAAAACGGCAACAAAAGCACACTTTTTGTTTGTCATCATACATGGGGTACTGTGGAAGCTTTTCCCTTTTCTGGCAAGTATTGGAAAACGCGAGCTCATGAGCGTCCCTTCAGACATTCCCTCCACTCTGAAAAATGGGCTTCTTCGGGATTGGTTAATAACATAGATCAGTCATCACATTGCTTGATAAGTGCGTGCTTTAAGGGCGTTACAACAAGGTTAGCCTTATATATATTGACCCTTAAAGAGGAAGAATTTGTAGCCTTGTATTGATACACAGTTTTTGCTACAAACATAGTTTTTGCGGTAGTAATAAGAGCTGTTCTGACTTTTCTAAGCACACATAATTTTTGCAACGCGTCTGATATATATATTATGTCTAGATACTAGAAAAGGCTAAAACGACTTGCAATTTGGAACCGAGGGAAATACCAAGTATCCAAGGTGAACCAACCACCAAGGCACC